TCTTGTGCTTTTTTATAAGCTAAGGAAGTAAATTGACGAAAGCGGCCTATTTGTTTATTACAATTTTGTATAGAACATGGACCTTCATTTTTTTTGCCATTGCGATATATGCAATAATTAAATGTGATACAAAAAAAATCACGTGTAATTATTTAACTAATCTAACCAATCAATCATAATCGATGATCTTTAGCCAATGATATTAAACTTTACCTATGCTGTTTTACTGGGATAAATACATACATTTTTCTTTTTCATATATATTTCTTTTCTTAATAAGTAATTATGTATATCGTCTATGAAGCAATCAAAAGCCTCAATTTTACAAAAGAAGAAAGAAATGCCCTATGCACCTTCTTCATTAATTATCCGGATAAAAGAACTGAAGTGGAGCTCATCCTTTCTACCTATGAAGATGAAGAGGTAGTTACTTGTTTGAAAAATCTCTTAAAGTCTGGTACGTTCTCTCACATATTTTACCTAAACATAAGATAATGTTGTTTCAACTCTCATTTTCTGTCATATTTTCCAATTACACCAAATACTTACATAATCTTGTGCTTTTCTTTCCTGCTTCTTGTCGTCAAACGCCGCTTACAAAACGCATTCACGTTATTGTAAAAGGTAGTATCACTACTGTATTCGAAAGTGCCAAACCTATTCTGCATTTCTCGTTGTCCTTTCATTTTCCATTACTAGCATCTCTTATCTTCTTTCTGTCTTTGCTAGTCGCCCAGATTTCTTCCTTCGCTGAAATTAACGTCAGGATGGATAAACAGCAGGAATTTATGTCTAAGATATATCAATGTATAATGGAAGAAAAAAAAATGGTTGCATATTCGACTATTAATAAAGAGAACTTCAATAGCTTTCTTAAGCACATTAATTTTAACTTAAGTGCTGTGGAATTTACCGGACCATTGCCAAAGAATAATATAGAACCCTACAAATGGAATGATTACACTGAAAATGACCCAAACCAATTGGAATTTATATCTCAATACTTAAACCAACATTTTAAACCAAACCTTCCAAAAGATTATGTTGTCTTTAACATTGCAAACCACAAAAGTTTTCTCGACATTACTACTGAAAATTCTCCTTTTTCATTCAAGATCAAAGGCGGAACTGACTATGTGGTGGTGGAGCAGAAATATATTGATAACTTAATTGCTAAAGCTGGAACTCAGGCTACTATAGAGTTAAAGAAAGTACCGCAGGAGCAAAACATATAGCAAGCTATTGCAGAAATGGTTGCAGCTGACTTTTTGACGAATGAAGAGATTAAGGTTATTGGTGTATTAACAGACCTAAATGAACGCTGGCACCTTTTTTGGTTAAAAGAGGGGAAAAAAATCATGATGGTCAAATTATCGCATTGTAAAAAGGCATTAGATATTATTAGTAGAATAGTTAAGATGATGCGTGTGCCAGGTTTACCTGGAGGGCAACGTATAAAGATTTATGATAATTCTTATACGCAAGTTGATGATATTGCACCATTAGAGGTAAATTAATTTAGATTATTAATGTTGCTCATCTAAAACAAATTGTTCATATATTTTTGGCTTATTAAAGAGATTATAATTTATGATTACATATTAATTTAGGATTTTTATGAGGAGATGAGTAAGGAATATATACTAAGACATAAAGCAAGAAAGGTTATTGATTTAATTAGAAATAATCCACTATTTTCAGATGTATTTTCTAATTCTGTAATCAAATAAATTTTTTTAATAAAGCACACTTAATAAATAATTTTTCACGTGCTATGTGTGAACTTGTGTTGATCAGATAAAAAATCCAACCGAGATCAAGATATTCAGAATATAACGATTTTGTTATGAATTTCTGCTAAAATATTCAGGGTGTTGTAGGAATAATTAAAGTTAAGTGTATGTGAACCTTTGATCTTATCATTACTATTACTGCAATTACATATTAATAACTTTACTTAGTACCTCTTTACAGATTCCATAATTACGCCGAAATCATCTTACGTACTCGCAAAAAATTCCGAATTTAATCCTTAGGCTGTAGATCGCTGAAATTTAATCTATGTGCACGTTACAATTTGTAACACCATATCATCAAAAAAATGAGAAACGGAGGGCATTTATTCTCATATTTCCAGTGCATGACATGCTTGTTGTTATTTGGAATTTGGAAATCTGTTAATCGGATCTACATTTCAGCTAAAATATTTATAGGGTCCAAAAAGATCAAGAAAAACAATAACGATGGAAAATCCCCTAATATAACTTTATTAGGACTTTATTTGAGTCTGGAACCTATCTAAGAATTGGTATATATGGGATGGAATCAGCCGGGAATTCCGAAATCTGATAGAAACAGATTTTGTAAGTGGAAATTTAGTATTAGCATTAGTGATAGAAAAATCTTAGCATAGTGTATAATTTAGCAGAACTAAGAATAGGGACAATCAGTGTCTTACGAGGCCTTTGGATCTGATTGCTAGTGTTTCATTTTTAAAAGCACGTCTATGCAACTTGCAAAAATATTATTTTTGTATCTCTATGAACGAAATATTACTTGAATATAATAAAGTTTTCATCCACATCGAGCTTTCCTTTTTAAGTTATGCAATGCCTCTCAAATATAATTTGATCAGGGTGAAATGAAAAGATGTTCTGGAGTAAATGTTATAGAGTAATGTTTTGATCAAGGGGAATGTATCGCAAATTAAAAATTAATTTTTCATGAATGCGTATTTGCCTAGTAATGATACATCCATAGAAACTGCTAATAAGTTGATCACACTAATTTTGAAAATCATGATCGGCAAATTAATTGACATCTGGATTTTCATGTTTTGCGTCTTGAAATTAATGATAATAATAGACTTTATCGTATATTACAATACTATTCCAATTGATTTATCACTAGTTAAAAATTCTGCAAATTAGCAAAACTAAAGGTTTAGATATTTTATCAAATCTAAAATAAGTTTATATTACAAACTATTTTATTGTCTTTTCTAATAAGTTGTTTACAATTAAATTTATCCTTAAAATTCAGTTATAGAAAAATCAGGTTCTAAGAAATTTTTGACTAAAATTAAGAGCTTAATGCATTTTAATCTAAATTTTGTTAAAAAATTCTCAGAACCTGATTTTCCTAACAATCAACCAAAATACATAAAAATATACAAATTATATGATTTAAATATTATAAATTTTCTAACATCCTCTTTTCCTAGTATTAACTTCATCCTTTTTCCAGCAACTGTTTAGCCAATTCTTCTAATTGTTCCACATGATTGAGCAAATTCTAAAAAAAATAAATCTCTATTAGTAAAAATAAATCATGTAATAAAAACAAAAAATGATTAATACATGCCCTATTTATGAGAAATCACTTTGCAAGAAAAATAGTAATTATTCATTTGAGAAAGATCTTGTGTAGCCAATTCAAATGAGCCATAAATGCTCAATCCAATTTGAAAACCTAATTTTATAACCAATTATATGAAAGAAATTTTCACCCCAAAATTTTTCACCTTCACATGACTTTTACCATCCATTCTACTATGTATTTAGGGATAGAGAATTATTTTACATCACCGGATACGTGGGGGTGAAATTTCATATACTGGGTAAATATATTGTTACATACTTAAGAGCTTTTTGGATATCCTGTGGCAGTGGATTGCATCTACATTTTTTTAACACATTTTAATTTAAGAGATATATGCTAGGTTTGGAATGAATTTATCCTAAATTAAATAATGATTTATCCAACTTTTTCAACACCTTACTGATTTATCTTCATCAACTAGAGTAGCATTATTTGTCCTACTTATTATGATCCTTTATGCTCCTTAAATACATGCAACTTTCACAATATCAACAAAATGCGTCATTTTTTTGTTATGGTTATCTTTAGATAAAGAATCAGAATTTGCACTAATACCAGCTTTATAGTTATGTATCTGCAACATAAAGTTAACATTCTTGTTTTAAAATAAGACACATATATTATTCCTCATACTAAGAAAAACTTACAATAAAAATATATTTGGTTACAAACGTTATAAAGAAAGAGCAGCAGGGAGGGCGTGCAGACCAAGTGTGAACTGCCCTAGACCCAAATAAGATAGGTGACGAATAGTGTAGTCAAGATCTCCCTAATGCTTAAAATTACTACTTATTGATTCTACCGTTTTAAGCCTGCCTGGTTCTATTCTAATATATAGAATCCTTATATTGAATTCATGCTTAAAATTGGGTTGGGCTATTTTTCTGCTATCTAAAATTTCTGGTATCAAAATTGGTTTGGAATTAAGCCTGGGATACTAAAAATAAAACTATCTTATATAGCTTTCTAACCTGATTTTAATCCCAAATTATATAACGAAAAAATATACCATTCTGTTTGGGTTTGAGACGACGTGAGCTTGGCAAGAATCAAAGGTTCAAAGCTAAGATCGTGAAGTCTTTGCAAACCTTCTATGTATATCAATATTTATGTTATCCTAGAATTAATTCTAAAAGTGATTCATTGCTGTAAACAAATCCCCGATAAGTCTCACCTCAAAGAGGTGAGATTTAACAGATTCAGTTACCAAATTCTTGATTTAAGAATTATCGAGCATATTCAAACATACCATTAATTTCACAATACACAGGAAAGCATTCTGAAGCCATTTTATTTACACAAACATAAGGACAAAAAGTCTCACCTCTAGGGCGAACATAATTAAGTCTCTCCTCTAAGTCTCACCTTTAGGGCAAACATAATTAAGTCTCACCTCTAAGTCTCACCTCTAAGCCAAACATATTTAAGTCTCATCTCAAAGTCTCACCAAATTTTCGTACCTAAACATTAAACGCTATTAACTCCAGATCCAGTAACCCAACTCGTATACAAATTGGTACACATATAGTTCTAATCAAGGGCTAACAAACAAACCTAAGATCATGGAAAACAGATCACTGAATCCTGAAATAATAGCGTTTAAAGCCTTTCATCTAGTATAATATTTAGGTAGTTAAAAAGAGGCAGAAGCATAAGCTTTTAGGGCGATGCGGATGCCCTTGGGAGAAAAAAAGATATTAGCAGAAGGCCTTTAAGATGGATGCTAATATATTTTTTTTCGATCCATTGCTACACTTTTTTAATATATGCTAATATTATAAGGCAGAAGACATTAGTCTGAAATAAGCTCATTACTAGCCAGGTACTGATCGAACATCTAAGCTTTATCCTGAAGTTTGTTAACATATTGAATCTGATAATGTCTTCTAACATGATCTCAGCATCGGTTACATCCTTCAATTCTGGTTACTTTATTACATCCTGGCTCAGAGCAAAACTGGCCCTTATTAGCCCTATTTTCTCATATTTCGAAAATAGAAAAAAAAGTAATTGAATATTAAAGATTATGATTAAATATTTTTAATTTAGCAAAAGTTTACACGATATATAACAGGTGAGACTTATTGATAACATGCCTAGATCAGATAAGAAAAATGCTACATGTGTTTGCTGTGAATATAAATTTACAAGACCAGCTAAACTTCGTCAACATTATAAAAGTAATAAAAATCAATGTAGTCTTTCTCCAGAGGATAATCTCCAAAGGAGAGTACCCAGACCCTGATCACCAACCTCCATACCAATAGTACATGTTCGAGGAAGGGATCGAAGAAAGGAAAAACCTCAAGTGATTACTCAAGCTTCTATTCCCGAACCAGATGTAGCCCCAACTCCTGAGATTTCTAGTCAAAAGGAAGAACCAGAAGCTCCAGTACTTGGTAGGAATTATATTACTAAAGAGGAGGTAAAGAAGTGGGTTAGTCCAAACGCTCGTAAACCCAGAGAGCATTTTAGGTCATGGGGAGCGAGATTGCAAAGACGTTAGAAAGAACTTGATCTAGATGCTGAACCATGAAGTAGGCGATCTAGATGGTTGTAAGACTCTTTTCCATGATCTCGAACAGCCCAATAAAAAATTTGATATAAAAATTCCATAAAAATATTAAGTTTTATAACGTATAACTTTTATGGAAAAT